GGCCAGCCCAGCCCTAACCCACGACAACAGAAAAGCTGCAAAAATCTGGCCCTCAGCCCCACAACTAGTTGGCTGCTGTCCTCTGGGGTAAGCAGGGTAAGGTGGGCTCTTCCTTGAAGTGTTTTGTATCGCCTGGGGAGATGTATAGCTGTTTGGGTTTGTTTCCTTTTATTGTTCCTGCAGGACACTGCCACACGGAGCAGGAAGTTCCCATTCTGCGTTCTCAGTTTGGGCAGGCTCCACCCAGTAGCATCCGTCAGTGGAAATGCCACCTTGATTTCCTCTGGCTCCCTGAACAGGTTACACTCCCCAGCCCCAACAGCCAATATTTTAGGTCTACAGCAATTGATTTTGCACGATTGTCCTTCCTGCCCGCCAAATCCTGCTCATCTGCCATGGCGTGCTCCGGTCAGAGCAGATTTTAAAACAAACAAACAAACAAAAAAACAGGAAAAAAAACCAAACAAAAAAAAATCCACACAAAGTCCTTACGAAGAGCTGCTCAGCTCTTGTTGTGTAGTTCTAGCATAAGGAGCGTGATGCATTTTGATCATGCTGGGAATTAATTGAGAGAACCGCTTCGCCGTCATGTTTGTCTTTGTAAACGCGAGCAAACGGTTTTATTTTTCACTGACAATCTAATTTGGATATTATTTTTCCAGTGAAATCCTAGCGAGGCTTTATGTTACCGTACGTCTTAGGAAGGTTTTCTCTGTAGCAGGACCTTGGCCAGTGTATTCACAAAACCACTCTTAACCATATTTCAGAAACGTATGAAGTATGAACTAGGCAACATGTTGCAGAGTGCAAATTACCAAAAAACAAAGGTTCCTGTCCCCTCGAATGCCTGAAGCGTATTGCAGAACTGCAGGGATGGCACAGTGAAGGCCAAGCACGTCCACTTTTTAGGTACAGAAGGTGCTGTTAAAGGTCATTGATGTTTAAGGGCTGTCTTGCCTGTTTCTTGGTGAGATACTTGTGCTCTTAGAGCTTTGTGGAACAGCCAGAGTTACTTTTCTCATCAACACCAGCAGCCGCACGTCCCACTGGATGGGATTTTCATGGGCAGATCGGTTCTTTGGTGTGGCACCAGGTTCCTTCCTCGCCTCCCTTTTCTGCTGTTTATTCCGATTGTGCTGCTAATGAGACACTTGTTTCCTGACCTCTCGACAACCTCGTGCAGCCCCTGCGATGTTAAATGAAATAAGACACAGCGGCAATCCAGTAATCAAACCACAGAAGTCAACCTCTACAAGAGAGGAGGGCCTCGTTATTATTTTTTTATTTATTTATTCTGGGCAGCACAGGAGGGAGTACCATGCCTGGTGTTTGCCAAGACCAGAGCGGCACGCTGGAGATGGTACACTGAGATTTGTTGTGGCAAAAAAACATATCTTTGAAGCCCTGGAAACAAAGCAATAGCTGCTTACGTTTCTTGATTACGGAATCTCTAACTGGCATCAGGATTTTCAAAGGCGGGAATGTTAACAGCTGTTCAGCATCTGGGAAACCTAGAATTTAAGAGGCAAGAAAAGAGATTTAAGATGACGCTTTTCTGAAGAAGTGGTGAAGTTGTTTGTAAAGCCCAAAGATAGTTTGGGGATATAAGTCACTGTAGCAGCAAGGGAAGAAATTAAGTAGAAAAGAGCAAGAGACTAAGAAAAGAGAGAACTGAGAGCTTGGGAGGGAGGGGCTGGGGAAGGGGCTGCATTTGTTTGACGAGCTTCTCAAGGAGGGACGCGCAATGAGGGAGCAGGCGCAGGTTCAGTCGGGGCAAAAGGTGGAAATGGGGATGTAGCAGCAGTTCACAGAGATGAAAGCAGACACAGGAACCTCCACAGCTTCCATGCACCACCTTCTTCATCCTCCAGCTGTGCTTCACCGCTTGTGCTGCATGATTTTATCCCCACCACAGGGGCACCTTGTCTTTTCCTATTGCCTGAGTCTTGCTATTAAAAATTCTTGGGTTTATAAGAGTCCAGAAGTGATCAACAATCCATGGGTGCAGATAGCTTCAATCTGGAGATCCGAAGCTCTCAGAAGCGTCATGGCTTTTTCTCCCATGTAAGTGCATCACTTGAAAAATTTTTTTAGGCAGAAGCACTCTGCACCCTCAAAAGGGTGGATAATAGGATCTGTAAAATAATTTGATTCTCAGTGGGGAATACAGGTATTCATGGCTGGCTTTCACCAAGGGCCCTGCCAGGCAGCTTGGGGAAGAACCCCACAGTCTGTAGATCTCTTGAGCAGCACGGGAGTAGAGGGTGCATGTAATGCCAAGGGTATGCTTGGAGGAAATCTACGTCCTCTTGCGTGGAAACAGTGACGCAGTGAAGTGAAAGCTTCATTTAAATGCATTCTGGGTACCCCAGTAAACACGTGGAAGACTTGGTCATTCTTGCACATGGCCTTTGTGGGTAGATAAAACTGCCTTTTGTTGGGAACGCTCCAGTCTAAACTATGCTTGACAAAACTGTTAGCTGAGTCCTTCAGCGGGGATGAGGAGGACCTTTTCAGGACCATTCTCTTCAGACTAATTTCTCCTTTTACTCCCTGGGTGATGTTTACTTCTGTAGAGGCAGCCACACACTGGATGGCTGGAGTCCGACCTCAACGCTCCTCTGGTGCATCCGCTTGAAAAGCATCACGGTGCGATGGATTAAAAACCTTGTAGAACTCAATTCCTGCAGCCACACGTGGTGTGGCTGTGTGGAAAATGCTGCTCTTGTATTCCTGTGCACTGCTAGAAATGAGTTTTAATTGCTTCATAGTCTAAGGTGAAGTCTCCCATTAGCAACAGCTTCTGTATCGTAAGGATGGCAAGAGCAAGAACTCGAGTAGCATTTTCTGTCTTCAAAGTACTTTGCAGACATTCTTTGCTTCTGAATTAAGGATGAGTGTTTGTCCCCTTACAACACTTTTCTGATGAGATAAATGTTCAAACTGCCACGGGAAAGAGACAGAGCTAATGGCTCCAGATTCTCTGCAGAAATGGGGCTGTATTCTCCTGTTTTGCTTCCGTGGTGCAAAGTGGCCCCAAAGGACACAGGGCTGATATCGCCTCCACTGGTGGAAATCTTCAGGCTGGGTAAAATCAGGTGTCTGTATCACTTCTGCCTTCCTTCAGCCAGTGACAGGAAGGGGTCCAGCCAGCAGAGACTGGGGCCCCCAAGTTGGGAGCATCTCTGAGTGACCACACCTGAAGGGAGGGGAGGCTCCGTCCTGTCGCAGGCATCATTGACAAACCTCCCGCTGACCCTGAGGGGAGGATGAGGATGCCTACCAGCACGGACTTCTGACGTCGTCTCCCTGGTTTACTGTGTTTTCCAAAGACCCCTTTGTGCTTCTCTCCCCTGCTTTGTATTCTGAATATTTGGACCATTCTGACGCTCGGGGTCCCCATTTGTAATTAGGTGGCGTTTTCTGCGACAAGCGAGTCGCGCTGATCCCTCAGTATAAGATTTAACGAAAACCAGCAGAGGAGGAGGGCTGCTATTGTGCTGCCCTCGGCACTGCCTAAGCCATCCCTTGTTTTTCCCCGTGTGTTCAAATGCTGTTTGAACAAACGGGGCGCTGGCGAGAGGGCAGTGAGCGGGTTAGCTGTGTCTCCGCTAGAAATACTTGCGTGAGGCAGGAAGCAGGCATGGGAGGAAGGAAATTAAGTGGAGACATCTGTGCGGCTTAGCTTGCAGCAGCTCTGCCTGGGCTGGGAGTGGGAGACTCATGCCTAAGATGACATAACGTCATTTTGTCTTTTTTTTCGTGAGCTGGAAACAAGAGGAAAGCTGTGAAAGCGAAGCATGGTCTGTGTCACGCATGGTCCGGGCGTACCGAGTACATAATGGAGCAGTGTCAGGGCTTTCTGCTCTGCTTTTCACGCCCCAAAATAAGTCTTCAAGACAGAGAACTGAGGAGAATGTGATATGGTCCAAAAACTGATCTTGGACTTTTTTCGCAGACGACTGAGCCAGAGGCCGACTGCTGAAGAATTGGAGCAGAGGAACATACTGAAACGTAAGTCTTGGTGCTGCTGACGTTTAACCTAGTTTGGGTTAGTTTAGATGTGTGTTGGGTGTTTTTTTATAAAACATCGACTGTTCTTCATTGATAATAATAATAAAGTGCATCCTGAATGCAAATAAGCGCGCAAGTGTACAGCAACATCTAGAGCTGCATAAACAGTTCTTTAAAAGTCAGTAAACTCACAAGAATGAGCAACCGACAGCGAAAAAAAAAAAAAACAGAAAAAAAAATAGATGTTGAATCTCCAGTGCAAGTTCTCTTCCAAACAAAGGGTTTGTCATTCTGAAAAGCCTTTATGTGGCTCTTACGCAGATGAACATCCCGTTACAAGTTAGCAAAAATATTAGGGCATGGTTTGCTTAGTGTCCCTAAAAATCTTCATAGCAGGCTAGACTAGATGGAGCCTTTATTCAATTAAAAAAAAAAAACACAAATGTGACTCAGGATTATTCCCTGGAAATATTTCCCTGAAACTCCTCCTGAGTGTTCCCATCTGGGCTTTTGCAAACTGCGTGATCTGCTTGTGCAGAGAATTTGCACTCTCTTCATTATTCCTTCCTGTGTCTCTTTTCCTCTAGGCTCTAGTATATTTATTACAATTCTCCTTCTCGGAAGTCTTGGGGAAGTATATCAAGTGATGCACAAACCAGACAACCAGCCCAAAACTTGCTGGTAGATCTTACAAGTGTGAAATGGTATTTTAAAGGGACAAAATACAATTCAGAGACCCTGATCCCAGGGAAAGCAGGACTGAGTCTGGCACAAATCTCATAATCTCATGAATTAATAGGGAAAAATGACTATTTCAGTACTCACATTGAAGTGCTTCAAATATGTGAAAAGAAAAAAAAACCTATTTATCTTTTTGGAAACAGAAAACAAAAGAAACAAATTCTTCCCTTTTTAGGTTGATAAATGGATTATTCAAGGGAAATTTATAAAAATTACTATAGAGAAAAGGTCTCCTAAGAGATACCTTATGCACAGCGTCTCCTTAGGTAGGTCCATAATTTACCTTCTCTTGTTGTTCAGATAACCATGTTGTACAGAATCATAACAATGTGGTAGCAGATTAATCATAAAAAAAGAAAAGAGCAGAACTGATAGATTAAATACTTCGGCATCAAATTCCTAACAAGTTAACCAGAGTGTGAGCACTCAGGTGGGTTTTTTTCATCCGTTCACGTTACTGCGCATGCCAGACAAAGACGAAGAGAGACACGCTGCTGAGAAAAGCCTGAGTGAGCCCGAGGCTGCCAGAAAAACCACTTATTTTCGGCCAGCCCTTTCCTGGGAGCTGTGCTCCCACCCTCTGCCCCCGCCTCCCGTGACGGGCTGCTGGAACCTGGAAGAAATCAGGCGGCGCATCCAGATGTGGTTGTGTCAGGGGGTGGGGGGGCAGCAGAACAGCTGGAGGAGAAGCGGGGACCCACGACATGACCGGCACCAGGCTCAGAGGGACAGAGGCCGATTCTCTGAGCAGCTCGTGTTGTCACCCCCGGGGCTTAGGGACAAACAGGCGTCATTCACCACCTGGCACTGGTGCGTGACCAGTAAGCGCCGCCCCGGCACTGGTGAGGGAGGCTGGGGTCTCTTTGGCTGCAACCAGCATCACCAGCTGAAGCACTGGCAGAAATTCTGTTGCCAAGTGCAACAATCACATAGTGACCCAAAGACATCTTGTATTTCAGAGGAATTATCCCCGAGTCATGTTAGATTCTTTTTTTTTTTTTTTTAATTGAATGACGCGGATGTGTTGGAAAGTATTACCCTGAATCTAGAACTATATTGTGTTTCCCCAGACGGAATTTTTGTTGCTTGGTTCCTAAGCACTGATTTGCCCCAAAACATGCATGTCCTGGTAGACAAACAACTTCATAATTATGGGAATAAGTGATGTAGTATTTCCAAGGCATCCCAACTTTTGATGAAGCACAGTGGGAAAGGAACAAAAAATTAAAATAGTGACATAATTTAAAAAAATTTTTTAAAAAAGCATAGAAATGATCCAGCCTTGAACAAGTAAATATAAATAGTGTCTGGTTTGTGCATTGCTTTATGTACTTTCCTAAGACTTCTGAGAAGGAGAATTGCGATGAATATACTACAGCCTGGAGAAAAAGGAGACATAGGAAGCAATAATGAAAAGAGTGCAAATTCTCTGCACGAGCAGATCATGCAGTTTGCAAAAGCCCAGATGGGAACACACAGGCAGAAAACACATCAGGCTCCTGAACAGACTAAATGGGATTTCCTCTGCAGTTGAAGCTGAAATCTCGATGCAGGTGTCATGTCTGGTACCCCCTCAAACATTTCACAGTGGCACAGAAATCTGTCCTGAAAGTCGTACCCCAGCCCCACGACCCTCACAGCCAGAGGTCTGGAAAAATAGAGCATCTCCTGAACACAGAAGATAAAGGAACAGCTCTGTAGCTTCACAAGATGGGCATGACTCAATTAATATTACAAAAAAAAATAGCTAAAACAAAGTCACTTGCTGGTTTTGGAGGAGACTGTGTTCCTAATTCCCAGCTTTTACCTACCTGGCTGTCTCTGAAGGTGGGTGGCTGGGCTGAGAAGTGAGGAGGAAAAAAAAAAGACGTCGCACACCAAGTACAAAAATGAATGACTGTAACTAAATTTTATACATAACCCCTTGGCTGCTCCCAGCTCTACCCTGGCTCTGTGTGGGCTCTGTTTACCACTGTGCCTCACTAGTTTAGTCTGGAAAGGGTCTATTAGTGGCTCTGTTTCTGAAAGTAGACATGTGGAGGACCAGCTCCTCCAAATTTGAGAGGAGGGAAGAATGAAATTGCTAGAGGAGCGAAGGCTAGAAGAGAATCCAGCCCAGCAGTGAGATAGGAACCACTGAAAGAGGAGAAATTCTCTGCAAAGGGTAGCTACGAGAAATTATTCTGTAGATAGGGGGGAAAAAAGCAAAGTAAAAGAAGCATGTGTTTCTCTTCTAACCATTGACCTTGCACCCTCGCAGAATCCAAAGGGAAAAAAGCAAAATAAAAGAAACGTGTATTTCTCTTCCAACCATTGACCTTGCACCCTCGCAGAATCCAAGTATTGGAGCTGAACCCCCTGAGGCCACCAGGCCTGGGGGCAGGGAGATGGGAAAGGGAAGGGGAAAGGGAAAGGGAAGGGGAAAGGGAAAGGGAAAGGGAAGGTGAAAGGAAAGGAAAGGGAAAGGGAAGGGGAAAGGAAAGGAAAGGAAAGGAAAGGAAAGGAAAGGAAAGGAAAGGAAAGGAAAGGAAAGGAAAGGAAAGGAAAGGAAAGGAAAGGAAAGGAAAGGAAAGGAAAGGAAAGGAAAGGAAAGGAAAGGAAAGGAAAGGAAAAGAAAAGAACGGAAAGGAAAGGAAAGGAAAGGAAAGGAAAGGAAAGGAAAGGAAAGGAAAGGAAAGGGAAAAGGAAAGGAGAAAGGGAAGGGGAAAGGGGAGAGGCAAGGGGAAAGGAAAAAAGGAGGCTGTAGGTGTTTTATGAATTTGCGCAAAGAAGCACGGTAGCTATGGCTGGAGGAAGTTCACCAGCCCCAGAGGGACACGCTGTGTGTCAGATTGTTCCTGGGACATTAAGATACTGATGGAGAGGCTTGTTTTGTTGCAAACCATGCACGCCCGCTGAGCCCACAGCCTGAGATCCTTGTACATCTTTTACAGCCCGGAATGAGCAAGAGGAGCAGGAGGAAAAACGAGAGATAAAGAGAAGATTAACGCGTAAGGTGAGAAGCAACTTGGGCACTACTGTGACTCTCCCTAGTAAACAGTTGTTTGCCTTTTTCCTTTTCCTCAGCATCATTTTCAAAAGTAGAGCGTGAAACAAGTCGTAAAAGAAATCTCTGTCGGTCCACAGAGAGTGGAGGGAACAACTTTACGGGCGCTAGTGGGTGACATTTGGAAACAGGACAAAAGACCTCGTCTTCATGAGCAAAGGAGCTTTGAACAGTGAAGGATGGAGAGCCTGGCACTGAGCTTACCCCCTCCCTGTAAATATAATGGCTTCTGCAGCCCTTAAAAAGAGAGCAAAGTTAAACCAATGCTGATTGCATTAGAAAATTCCCCTAAAAAAACCCAGAAAACTGGGAAATAAACTTTTTTTTTACCCCTGTTCACACTCCTTTTAGCTTTTTCTGGCTTCTTCCCTAGTAAAGATCTTTCTCTGCTGCGTTTGTGATGTTGGTAGCAACACGCCTTAGCATGGATTTGATTTTGATTGTCTTCTTAAACTGTTGTAAATTGTTCCAGCGACACACAGAATTTTAAAGAAAGAACCCCAGGCTGGGTCTAACGACAAATTTTGTTCTTGCCTACCAAACATAGTGTCACAAAAGCTCAGAAAAAGCCTGCCAAGTCTTATTACTAAAGGATTTTGAACCTCATGTCAAGCAGAAGTTTAATTCAGCACGGTGAGTGGTTTGCCCAGCAGACCTTTCTGTTTGCACTGAGTTTTAACGCCCAGGGGGTAAATTCAAAATGTGCTGCATTGCCTCCTTGCAGCCCCGTGTAATACGAAGGGAAGGAGGTTCTGCAGAAGGTGCTGATGAGACTTTTGACCTTGCACTGTAGAAGCTGCGACTATCCTCGATTTTTTTGGTGGCATCGTTCTGGCTCCGAGGGAACAAACCCACTTCATCCATTAAATAGCTATTCTTAAAAATTCCTTCATCGCTGACATTTTGGTAGAGTATTATGATGATAAGTTGTAACTTGACATGCTGCAATAAGTAAGATTAGCTTGTGAGGTCTAGATGCCTTATTGAAGTCAGCAATAAATAACCAGCTGAATTCATCATCTGGACAGGCAATTTCAAAAAAAAAATTAAAAAAATTAAATCAGGTGATCTATAACAAGCTGCCCTTTTAAGCACTTTTCATCGCCTCAGACTCACTTAACTCCATGTTAACTGGGGATAGGAAATAGCTGCCATTCAAAAAGAAAAATAAATGGAGCACGTGGACTTGTGTGGAGGGACGTGGGGGTTAAGGAGGGATTTTCTCTGAGCACTGCTCTTGGCCCACAAACCCGTTTCAGGAATGTTAACGTGCAGAAGCCCTCTGGGAGAAGTGTTGGAGGTGGATCCCCTCCATGAGGAGATCTGGGCCCCCAGGAATTGCTGCTAAGAACTCATCCCCTCCGAGCTGCGGCGAATTTGGCCGAGCACCAAGGCAATTAGCCCAAGCCTGAACTACCCTTGGGGACTTCTACGGAAAGAGAGTGGTAGCCTGGATTAACAAGTCATTTGCAAAGAGGAATAAAACTCTTTTCCTACCTTCTCTTCTCTCAAAGAGCCCCCCAAAGCTGTTTTCTGCTTCCTATCCTCTACTGTCAGGAGTTAATTTTTCCTGGATGCCTTGCTGTAATGTCAGCAACGAAAATGATGAAGCGTGGCTGGCTCTTAAAAATGCACGCAATAAGCTGAAATTTTTGCTCCCATTAGATTCCCACCGGAACAACTTAAATTCTCTGTTCACCTGTCTGAAGTGTCTTTCCATTCAGTCTTTTCTTTAACTAACCTCCTGGCTTGCATCAGCACAGGCTGTTCAAAATAATGAACACGTGAGAGAGCTGGGACTTGTCAGAGGGAGGTGAGGCAAGGGGGAAGGTCAGGGAAGGAAAAAAGTCTCTAATTTGGATAAACTGCTTTTATAGTAAGAGGGAAAGGTCTTCGGGGCATTTTCATCACATCCTGCTCTTATGTCTTACCAAAAAAGATGAGGAGCAGAGTAGAAAGGGAGTTGTGTGTGCTGCTAGTCAGGATCTGTAGATTTTCACCTTGTTTTTTTTTTTCCCTAAATAACAACCACTGCGTTTTAAGGAGGCAACAAGGCAGGCAATGATGAAGTGTGCAAGACAGTGAGCTTCACTGTAACTGAAGTGGAGCCAACTCGGTGTTTCACATTTGACTAAATCAGCACCCAAACGCTGGAGAAAGGTGGGATTTTTCACCCTCCGCTCAGCATCCTGCCTGGGTTGAATCTTTAATCCCCCCTGGAAGGTGAAAGGCAGGGAACCGAGATACTTAATTCGGGAGGAAGGTGGAGTTGCATGTCAGGATTCAGGAGCCTGAAAATCTTCTCAGAATAAGCTCTCAAGCATTTTATGAAATATTTAGATCTTTCACTACTCAAGGGTGAAATATTGCAAAACACATCTATTTCTAGGGAGTGGGAGTAGCACGATACGCTGCGTAGCTCTTAACAGGATATCATTTCTCCTGATGTATCATGATTGCAAATGCTTCACTCTAGTAGTAAAACTTTTGCAGCTGACACACAGCCACACGCACACCTGCATGTAGCACCTTGTTCAGAAGCAGTTGTGGAGTTGCTTCTGATGTTGGCTGCCGTGCTGTGCACCTGAGAATTGATCCCTGGAAGCCAGTTCCTGTCCACGTCCATGTAACTGCCTGTACGGCACGTGTTTCTGATTTGAGAGGGGTGTTTTGGCTGGGTCTGCCTTACCCTGCTGTGGAATTTGAGAGAAATGCTTTGAAACGGTGAAGGTGCTTTCGTGACATGATGCAATCCACCCTTGCAATTTATATTTTGTTTGACTGGTAGTGTGCATTGTGACCTGTTAAAAGTCAAATATGCGGTGACACCACGCAGCACACGGTGAAAAGTTCAGCGAGCAAGCCTGGGAAAGGTCGATAGAAACAACGATACTGGAAATGCCTGAACTCCCTTCTTATCGTAACAACGGTTGTGGTAAAATAAAGCCCCCAGCAGCACTCTGCAAGGCAAAAGGCAAAGTCCTGATGTCTCTTTCTGCTCCTTCCTCAAACCTGCAGCTGAGCCAAAGGCCCACGGTAGAAGAGCTGCGTGAGAGGAAGATCCTCATCCGCTTCAGCGACTACGTGGAAGTGGCCGACGCGCAGGACTACGACAGGAGGGCGGACAAACCCTGGACACGGCTCACAGCCGCCGACAAAGTAAGTGGAGCAGCCTCGGGAGAGCCACCATCTGAGTAGCTAGAGAGTGTCGCGGCAAACGGCGTCCCTCAGGTCCCACGGCCATCAAAGAATAAACCTCCACCTGGCGTCCCTTCCCCAACACATCCGTGGGTTCTTCCCTGCACAAGGTTTGTGGTTTGGGTTGCAAACCTTTGGCAAGAAGGCCAGTGGTGTCTCTGGTGTCGGCGATGGTGGCAGAGGGGTTAAATCGCTGGCAAATTGTGTTGGTCTTAGAGTCATAGAATCACAGAATGGCCTAGGCTGGAAGGGACCTTAGAGATCATTGAATCCAGCCTCCCTGTCATGGGCAGGGACGCCACCTCTTGACTCACATCTCAAGGGTCTTAATGGTGCCTCAGGAGGAAGACTCAAACATTTTATGGCCCCTGTAAGAAAAGAGGACTGTGGGGCTGGTCAGGGATTCCCATGCTCACACTCCTGCTGTGACAGCTGTGTAATTTTAAAGATTTTTTGAGTACCTGACTGTTTCTTTGCTCTGCAACTCATGCAGCAATGGAGACCGTGGTGTCCAGTGTTTAGAGACAAGAGTAGGATTTCTTGCCATGCCACTCGTTTATGGTGTTCTTGGTTTCATTCACACACACACATATAGATATATACATATAATAAATATATAAAAAATGTATATATAATATA